ACACCTTATATAATTATTTTAATATGTGAAACATTTTAACACACACCTCAGAAGTCAGCACTTATTGTAACTATTTTATACATTTACTGTAGAGAAGAAAACAAAGAGAGAAACATTTTTCTTGAGCACATTTATGTACTGTAAATACGATCATGCAAAAATGACAGAACAAAATGATTCCCTCCTACAACTACTGTATATTTCATGACTGCTTCTTCTTTTGATAACTTTGAGAACAGCATACTCTTCTAGTTTGAGTTTCTCTTCTATGCTCTTATATAATGTTATATAATGATAAAGAGGGTGCTCCAGGAAAGCCTCTTATATCTGGTGAGGATCCCTGCAAAACCACAGCCTACTCCAGAAGCACATCTTATGACACAAGACTATACTGCTGGATCTGACAACTGCAGGACACACAAACAGAGACAATCTGAGGTAATCTAACACACACACACACACACAGATGGACACAAGGAGAATGTGTAAATTCCTCAGAGTGGGTGCCTTGGGCTGGAAACAAGTACCAGAGCTGTGACAGAATAGCACTGCCAGGCTGCTCTGTTACCCTCTAAATGGATGTTTAACTGCTAACAGTACTATCACAATCAGCCATACAGTACAATGCTCCTTAAGATATATTCACATGTTCATAATCATGAGCATGGATCCCAACACTGTGATTACCAGAACATCTGGAATAATTATTAGCTGGACATCTAAAATAATTAAAGGGTATTTTCATTATCTTAAAAGGTTTTCAATACATTTCCAGACAAGAGCTCAGGGAGAGACAGGTCCTGAGATGTGAAAGGGGAACTTTGTAAATGTCAAATATTTTTCCTCTGCAAATGGTTTGATAGAATGTGATCCATTAAGAAAGATGAAATGATGAAAGTGATAAGAAAAATGTGAATCTGTTTTTCAAGAAATCTTTCAAGAACCTATTCTGGCAAGCAACGAGCGCAAGGTGGGATACACCCTGGATGGAATACCACTCAATCACAGGGCACACACAGACACACAAACTCACACCAGGACCAGTTTTTTCCAGAAGCCAATGAACCTACCGGTATGTTTTTAGACTATGTGAGGAAGCCAGAGCACCCGGTGAAAACCCATGCAAATATAGAGAGAACATACAAACTCCACACAGATAGCACCCCAGGTCCAAAACTCAAACCATGGCTTCAGCACTGAAAGTCAGCTATGCTAATGCAGCTACTGCAGCACCGTGCGCCCCCGTAATACTGTACATACCTTTTCATAGCATTTCAGAGGTGCTCTGAGGGAATGTGATGTTATCAGTCTAATCTGATGGGAAAAGTTCCATTAAGTGGAAGCATATCTATTAAAAAAGAATGTTCTCCATCATGTAATGCGAGCACATTGAAACAGTTCTCACACATGTTTGCTAATGCACAGTGCTTTACTTACTGAATGGTCTTAAATACCATAACAGGAGAAAATGGGAATTTAACAGCAAGAAATATCCCTTATCAAAATCTATCTTAAATTTCAAATGACCGGTCTCTTTTCAGCTGGCTATGTAAATCCAGGTGTGACATCAAGATGATACAGCTCTGGAGCAGTGTTTTGTGTAAATCTACTCACACCAGCAGCGCTGACACTTTAATGGAGTGAGGGATTGCACATATACAATAAAAGAAAAAAAAGCTACAAATACTGTAAATTGGAAACTGCAAACATGTGGGAGCTCTTGTATCCCAGATATAGCAAATTAAGTGAGAAGCTTTGCAAAAACGTGAGGTTGTTACCTTTCCTTTATTGTGATAACAAAAGTGTGCTATCAGTAATCATGATGCAAACCATATGGTAACAGAACATACACATCAACATACAAAATGTAGCCATGGTCTATGAGGTAGTTTTAAGTACCTGGTACACAGTAGCTGGCCTACTTCACATTTCAGGGGGAATGAAACCAAACCACAGGTAACATATTACCTTCACTTTCTAATCTGTAACAGCTGTGCACAAATTATCTGAAAATGTATTTAAATAATTACTTCCTTACTGCACACACTTGTAAGAATGAATGCATTGTGTTGAATTAATCAATTGATCACTCATTCATATTGTATATCAACTCTGTATCACTAAATATGGGTTGCACTCTGAAAGTCCTAGTTTTTATTTTTATGGGAAACCACATGCTTACATGCTGTTCCACATGGAGAAGTGTCACTCCAAAACAGAAGAAAAAAAACATTGGTTTTATGTACTTTTGAGCTCTAATACTATTACATTGTACAAATGTCCAGGAGCCATGCTGAAAAAAATGAAAAATGGAAATTGAAACTTGCAGAAGACCTTGCCAAACAGATGACTCAATTTTTACAGAAAAATGTTTACTGAAACCACTAGCTCCTTTATAAGTAACAACCCTCTCACTCATTTTATTTCATTTTTAACTACATGAATTACATAAACATCATCAGTGTGATTAATATTGTAATACAAGGACATAATGCAGAAAATATATAGTGGTGCTATTGAATACAGCATGCCCAAGAAAAGAGTATTGAATTATTATTATTCTTAGTTTTATTATATACAGATCCAGTTTTCTTTTAATATTGCGCAGTAGCTGTAGTAATGCTGTTCAGCTACCTTTGACTGGATGTTCCATGACTACAATGCTATGGCTAGCTACAGTATGTGTTTACAGCACATTAATAAACCTGCACATTAATAGCCAGCATTGTAACTACAGTATCTCTTTAGCCTAATGCCAAGGGCTGTAGGGAAGCTGTGTTAACTGCCATGTTACAATGTTTCAAACAAAACATTTACTATGCAATTAATTTTCACAGATGTATCACATCTGTGAAATTTATGACTTGTAAAACTGCGCACTGCTGTACACATTTTTCTGGTCAAGGATAAAAGAAACATAGTACTGTAAATATCACTTTTAACTTAACCAGTGACTACACAGATTTATTAAATATATTGTAAACACCTAGTGGCTGATACTGGATTATACATAACTGGGTCTTTCTGAGTCAGATGTACTAAGAGCTAAATTCCAATTTTCAATACTTGTGTTTCAAGGTTTTCTACCTTCTCAAATGAAAAACAGGTCGAACTCTGACATTAATATGATCTTTTTCTGTACTTCATCGTACTTCAATTAATACCAGTGCTATCCACACTACAGTACAATACTATATTAAGCCACATATTGTCTTTATTTATTTTTTTTTGTTTATGCAAAACAAAGCAATGTATGTTAGGGCGTTCTCTTCTTTCTGTAATGTGATATTTCGGAAACAACTAGTTTGATAATTTATTGGGAAAATCTATTGATGTCACTCTGAGAGTAGTTTAGTCAAATCCTAATTAAGGCAGAGAGGAGGCATTGGGGAGGTATTGGGGTAAGTATTGACATACAGTAACTCACCTGGATGAAAAAAACAACAGGGCCTTGAAGCCTGGTCTATTAGAACCACTGCTGCAATAAAGGATGAGCCCGGGAGTCTATCAAAGGCAAACATTTTTTCAAACATACTTTATATTTATACATACTGTAGGCAGATTAGGATTTGACCTCCTCAACTTTTGTTTTAAACCCCATTAAGGGGAGAGTTTCTGTTCTTCATCTTGACACCTGCTGGGCACCAGATATTTTTGACCCATTTGAGTCTCCTATCTTCTAACAAGAGCATGAAATTGGCTTATTTAATGGGTTATTTAGGTCTGGGTGTGCATGTGATAATACCAATTGTACAGTACATGTGGTCCAAAGGAGGGTTTTATCTTCATATACACACTTTCTCTTTCTTTATATAACATCCCTGTTTAATCCTACAACATTATTCCAGAGGTCACATTTACAGGGGTAATAAGAGACACCAATAAAACAGTTTCTTTCTATCACTTACGCATGTTCCTACAGATACCAGATAAAAGAAGAAGTGCATTTACACTTACAGGGACTGAAATACAAAGGGCTACATGGTAACAACCCAGCAGGAGCAAACATTTGGCATTAAAGGACTATGTATATCACTTCTGCTTTTCTACCCATTTATACTTCTACCAATAGAAACTATTTCTAACATAAGCTTCTTAACTATGATTTGTTCTTTTTTATGTATCCTGAGAAAACATCTGCAGGTACTGTTACATGTCCTTCATAATTACAAACCCAACCTGGTTTGTGGACCTCAACTGTAGCTCAATTACTGTAGCGCTTTAAAAAAGACAGGAGACCAAAAGGAAGACATACAGACAACAAGCATCTCTAAATTAATCAGCAGCTTCTCTGATTGTGAACCTGATGTACTGGACCACAGCTATGCTTGGTGCCACCTCCTCTTATCAGTGCAATCAGTGGGAAGTGTGTAGTTTTTCAGTTTAAGTCTCAGCTTAAAAAATGCATGCAGTATCTTGAGATACGAGCTCTATATTTTTCTGCTGTTATTAAGGCCTGTTATGATTACAAAAAACATATACACTACAAATACTTGTAGTGGGCATATGTTAGACGTACACAAAAAAGCACACCCCAAATGTGTACACAATGTTTTGTACCAATTTGAAATAAACTCTAAAAGTTTGGATGTGAAGATTTACGCTATGCAATGATCATCATTACTTATTATATTTTCTTTCTTAAAATTAATAAATCAATTTTTCCTCTGAAATATCAACAGTCACGTTTGTGTTTGGGAAGTGGTAAATAAAGCAGCAAAATTTTGGATAACACCATTAGTTCCATTTCATTTACAGTGTTTTGGTTAAAATATTATTTTTAAGATTTTGCTTTTGGTAATAAACATGGAGGCAGATCTGTTTATCTTCTGAGATGTTGTGAATCCTCCAGTCCTGCTTTTATTGTCAGAACAGGTGGATTTCAGTGGTTTTATGTCCAAAAACCTTGAAGCTCAAACCTAGTATGGATATTTTACCAGGACAAAATGTGGTGAAGCTGGAGAATTTCTGCATGTAGAAGAGAATATAACCATCTTTCTGAAGAACCAGAGCCTACAGTAAGCTTATAAGTAGCATCTTCTCAAAGTTTTTAAAGCCAAACAAAGCTGTACAAAATATGGATTTCTGGCTTGAGGATAAATTCAGGCATTATATATTTAGAAGTATAGGTCTGAATATTTACAATACAATACTTAAAAGACATTTGTTCAGAAAGAAATAACATACATGAGTTTTTCTTTGCTAAATCACACTTTATGATGTGTATATGGATAAATCTGTACCTCAATATACAAATTTATTTAACTCACAGTTTGCAAAAATAACCTCCTCTGATTGTTGCAGTTCCTTTGGGTTCAGCAAGTGTACGCTATGATTTGTATGCTAATGGGATTCTTCACACTGTATAAATCACTCCACAGTACTACATTCTAAATTCTGTAACTGCCAGTTTGTTTTCATAGCAGCAAAATTCCAGATTGTATCAAGTGGCAGATATTCCATTTGATAAATTCCAATTTCTATGCAAATGTAATTTATAATGTGGCAGGACTAAATAATGCTGCCAATGTCCTCCCTTTTCTAATATATAGATGCTATATTCAGTACAGGTCTTGGGGCTGATAACATACAAACTCCAGACAGAAAACACCCCAGGAATTGAACTCAGGCCACAGTACTGAGAATTATTAAATTGTTAAAAGAATGCTAAAAACTACAGTACATCAATGTACATCAATCAACCTGACAGATATTTCAGATTTTATATTCATTAGTTAATTGCAGCCATAGTATATGTAAATGGCTATGGGCATTGTGGTTTCCATAAAATAACCATCACTTCTGTGGTGGTTATCCCCACCCTTGCTATGATGTACTTCAAGGAAATCACATGACCTGCCATGGTTCATAGCTGCCATTTACCACAGTCTCTCTCTGTTGATTCCCATTTCAACAGCCTCATAAAAATAGTAGTCAAGAAATGCAACATTGTCACTCAACAGTTACGTTATTGTTGGCCACTTTGGTTATAGGCTTAAAATTGATTTAAGCCAAAATGGATCACCCAGGCCAAGTGAATGTTCTTCTGCTATTATGGACCATAACCTTTATATAATGATGGAAAAAAGAAGCACAACATTTTCTGGAATAAGAATACTATAGGTATAACTTATGTACTTTCATAAAACGTTGTCAATTTGTTTAAAGCCCTCTGACCAGCAAAACAGCTTTACAGTGAGGCATTGCAACTTGGCAATCACATGGAAGCTCGTTAGGTGCACCTTTGCCCAACAAGGTCCAGGTGGAACAATGCCTGATCAGATCACCTTTAAAAAAGCCTTAATTCAAAGCTTATGTCACTGCAAGAAAAAGGCCAAATTTTTCTGTGCATTCCATAATGCCTCGAATGTCACCAGAACTAAGGGAGAGGGCCATTGGCCTGCTGCAGGCAGGCATGTCATGTGCCAGTAAGCCGCTCCACTGTGTCCCAACTCCAGAGAAGGTTTCAGCAGACCGGCAGCACAGATGACCGTCCAAGATCCGGTTGCCCTCGAGTGACCACACCAGAGCAGGACCAACACATCAGACTGGTCCATCTAAGAGATCGTTTCAGATCTGCCACCCTTACTGCTGCTGAAACTGCTGACAGACACAATGCCTGCATCAGTGACAGGACAGTGAGTCTCCATGCTGCTGGCCTTAGAGCACGGTGACCTGTCAGAGGTCCTCTGCTTACACCTCTTAGATATCACACCCAACTGGCTTGGGCCAGCCAGAGTTTGTGATGGACTCGTCACCAGTGGCATCAGGTCCTCTTCACGGATGAGTCACTCTTCAGCCTGTTCCATGCAAACGTGAGGACCAGAGTGTGGAGGAGAAAGTGTTGCGTTTCTTTTTTCCATCAGTATATATACGCTGACTTGAGGCCCAGTTTTAATTTTCTAACTCTCTTCATCTTTAGTGATGGTGACTGCAGCTGTCAGTTAAAATGAATCATGATAATGCAGCAGTGGCGGGCAGTGTGGCTTAGCGGTTAGTGTTCTGGACTTGTAATTGTAGGGTTGTCAGACCACTTTCTGGGTGGAGCACTACAGCTGTACCTACAGTATATGTAAGTACTTCACCCACATTCCCATATGTTCCCATAAGAAAAATAGCTGCATATCTGGATTCAAATATAGGTATTAAAACCTATAATAAAAACCTCAGCTAAATTACATTTTAATTTAAATTATTTTTACACTAATAGAGCACAATCAATGCAGCGCTAAATATGTGCTCAGAATTTTACACAATTTACAAACATAATATCAAAAAACAGAATATCAAAATGGTAAGATTCTAGTCTAGGTACAAATATAGCAAGAAATGGATGAGATAAACTCAATCACCATGGTAACACTGTGTATCAAAAGGAACAGATTAAAATGAATAGGCATAGATACGCACACAAAGTCATCCCTGTGTGGAAGAAATAAAAACAGGAATGCTAAGATGAAGGGCCAAAAATTAAAAACTAAAGAGGAGAAAAATGCATCTTAAATCTGTAGAGGCAGAAACTCGCACTCATCCATTAGTATACAGCAGGAAACAGCCTGATACCTCGACACATGAAAGATGAAAACCAGCCTGGAATTACTGGATAGTCCCAGCTCCTCAGGCTGCTCTGGTAAATCCCTTACCTCAGCTGTCTGTCTTTGCAGAGTGCCACCATGACAAGGAGGTTACCAAGGACAGTCATGATTATGATGAAAGCCAGGAAGATGGTGAGAATAATCCTCTCTGCTGGGCTTAATTCTGCATTTACCTCTCCATTTCTTGAACTGGGGAGAATTCAAAAATAAAGCCAGAATAGCACCGAAAGATAAACTACTGTACCTGCCAGGCAAGCCCTGATATTGTAACACACTTTCACTATAGTGTTTCTTTTACATTCCCTGTAATCTCAGTGGTTTTAAAAATGAGTTCACTGTTTACCACTTTCATGAATATTTAGTATAATACATCATGACATTATTATACTCTAGTGAAGTAAACTGTAGCAAAATCATGGTAGCACTATTGTAAGGCAGTAGTGAAAGTAATCTAATATAAAATGTAGAAGAAAGTTCTTGTGTTTAAAAGTGCCATGCAAATTTATTACAGAGACCTTATTACAGATGCCATTACCAAAGTTCTTGTTCACATGCCCTATTATAGTATTTTATTTTTTCACTTTGGTTGTTTCTTTTAATTATTTTGTACTAGGTATTCAAATATTGTGCAGGCCAAGCTGGAATTAAAAGGAAGGCTAGTCAAACGCGTCTGTCAGACAAAGCCGTATAACACATTACATGTCTGTTAGGTTCAGCTCTGTGGCCATCACTGGTCATCTGCATGGGTTTCAGTTGATGGGACGCCTCTGCAGAAGAAACCACAGTCTCCCTGTAAGCAAAATAATATATTCATTTAATTAAGGCAGATATAGCTTTTTTCTGTTATAGTTTATTGTAGTTCCTCACTGTTAATTCTAGTTGAAGAAAGCTATTGTTGTTATTATTGCCATAATGCATACGATGCAGTATAGTATAGCTTTTAAAAATGTATTGACAGAGGTCAAGCAATGTATGTAGTAATAATAATAATAGTACAGTATATTTAAAAAGCATTATCTTCTGTCTCCTACAGTTTTGATGACTCTGACCATAGACTCTGCAAGTGTTGTGTACTGTATACTGTTAAAAGGATTTGGAGCATCCCCAAGCGAGTTTTAGGAACATTTATCAATCCAGCATCTACAAAACAGGCACCAAAAGAGAAGTTCTCTTTTGTGTCTTTTTTGTCGTACAAACAAAAAGCATTTTGTTTAGTTAAACCCCGTCAAGGTCTGAAAATCAGAACGTTGCAGAAAAAAGCTAATGCCATCTGTTCTTTTTATTTGGCTTTTTAATTTCTGTGCGTGCAGTGATGTGTGTTGTGAGTTATTCCCTGTTGCGGTGTCAGTATAAAAATGGTGCACCGAGTTCTTCATGTGGTAAAACAACTTTTACAAAACACTTCTTAACCATGATAACAAGGGAGTGAAACAAAAGGAGTTAGGTGAAAGCAAATGGATTTGGAAATGTTTTAGATGTCATTTTTTAGCAGAACAATGGGAATATTCTGAGAAACAAGAGCAATTGACAATGGCATGTTACCTACAGTAGTTTGAATGTGTTTGCCAATGACAACCATTGGGATGGGAGCCCTCAATGGAAAACCATGCTGCAGCTCTAAGCAGTGTTGGTTGACTTTTAACAAAATGAGAATTTCCAAACTAATATATGATCACTAGTGACACTATGCTGTAGGACATGCCATACTAGCTGGTCATTAACAAACACTATTTGTGTTCAAAGATGTAACCCCTGTCCCCTGGTTAACTTTCATATGGGGTTAGTCTGGTCTTGTTAAGGTTGCTATGTAGTGGGGCTGCTAGAGCATACTGCTAAAGCATGTTGTGAATCATCCAGGCATGAAAAGTGCTATATACTGTACATGTAAGAAATTAACTATATCAGCTATATATTTGTTTTCCAGCAAAATTCAATATTATTTTTATAATTCATAGCTTTTAGAGTCCAACTGTTTTCAATTTTTTTGTCTATAACCTCATATGAGGGCGTCATTTTCCTTTTTACAAATATTTTAAAAATGTCATAATTAGTGTAAATGTTGGTGCATTTTGGTGTACTGAGATTTATTATCTTTATAAATTTAGTGGTTGACAATTTTAGCTCTGATTTAAACTCCACGTGAACCTTTCCTTACTTCTGCGTCTTGATGCTCCTTAAAACCTATGATATCCAACAGTGAAATATCTTTCACTTTTCAGGTCCCTAAGCAAACGGAGCCTGTCTCATTTTTTCATTCCAGTCACTGGGTTAATAGAACTGCATGAACTGCTTGTTTGACATGGCTTTGTGTTGATGAAAATCTCTATTTCTAAACTTGACTAAACAGGCCGATAAGACACGGTTAAGTGACCACTGCTGCAATGTGGTCTTTTTGTACCCTTTCAGCTATAAATAGTAGCACCAAGCTGGGTAAATCTTACCTGATGTCTGGGAGCAATGCACACATTTCAATGTGGAATGCTCTGAGTTACCACAGAGTAAATAAGAGGAAAGTACTTAGTATTTACCCAGCTGCAGGTTGGTCCTTCCTCATAGCAATGGTAACTGAGTAGCCTGTTTTTACTAAGCTTGTTTTTTTCCTAAATACTAAATCAACTGAACATCAAGTTAATTTTAATAGTTTGTTTTTTCTTTTGGTTTTGATATGATGGCTGCACTAGGCGGTGCAGTTCGCAGTTCTGAACCCATAACAATACCAAACATGAGTCCGGCCTTGTAGGTCTTGTAAAACCTGCAAGTGCCTTGTAGGTTTTACATTAGACTATGTTGTGCTGCATACTGGATAAAAAAGGAAATAAATCACCCCCCACCCCCCCCCTCCAAATTTGAGGTCATGCTTCTCTTCCCCCCAAAGAAATTAATCTAACCCTTCTTGTGCCTTGGTGTGGTGTTCACAAGTGATTTCAAGTGGAAGTGTGAGGTCAGCTGGAAAACGTCTGCAGAGCTGTGTTCTGGGATGAAGATCATTGCTTACAGGGAAATTTATGTTCCCATCCAAACCTACAGTCATGAACTGTAAGTAGCTACAGGATGGGAAAGATCTTGAGTACAAGCACCAAGAAAAAAGATTTCTTCTTAGGAATGTTCTTCTTACTCTCTATAACAGAGTAAGTGGTTTGGCTTGCCAGGTAAGGCTCGGAGAAAAATTGCTACTCTGATGGAATGAGAGGAGCCAGTTGAGGCAAGGAAGAGTAACTGTTGCAAAGCAAAAAGATGTATTTTTCTCCTTCCTTGAAAGCAACCCTTTCTCAGACAAGCAGCTTGAAAATACATGGATGAATGGATGAATTAAGTGTGTGGGTAAACTTGCAGCTCATTTCGTCCCTCAAGGGTGTCTAACTTGGAATAAAGGAAGTTGTTGGCATTGTAATCAAAAACAATTGTGCTGGAGGTGACTTTGCAATTCAACATCCGCATTACAGAAACATGCTAGGACAAAATAGGTTAGGAAAAGCCAAAAATAAGAAACTATGGGATATCAGGTGGAAAATAAAGCAGATTATTATTCGGTCTTCACCTATATTTGCATCTACATAAACCAGTGGTAGAACCTCAAATCTCTTTTCACCAGGAATGACAACACACAAGATTAAAGTGTCATGAAAGGATTATTGAGATAAAGTTTGGCTTAATCCACTTGGCTGAGGGTGACCTCCCGGCCATAGGACAAGGAGGCCAGGATCCCCAGAAGAATTAAGCGGGACCTCAAACCACCAATGCAGAATTCTGAAAGCATGGAGGAGGTGAGAAGAACTCGTGGTGTGAACTGTGGGTCATCGCAGACGTTGGATAGGAGCTGGGGGAGTGTTTGTTTAGGGTTACTGTATGTAAAGAAGGAAGACTTACAATGAAGGATGCAGCCTTGAGTTGGAAGAAACATCCACAATAGCTTGGATTTGTGAGAACTTTGTAGACGGGAAAGGATATCACCGGTTTTATTAAATTGACTAAAAATGGCAATGTTATATGAATATATGAGGGCCCAAGTTTTCAATTGTGCCCTCAAAAGCAGCAACGGAAATGGAGACTCCTTCACTTTATTAGTACTGTGAATAGAATCACAGGAAGGGAGGTAAACGGCAAAGCCTTGGCCTTCTATAACCACAGAATTTAATAAGAGCCTTCTGGGCAAACTGAGTGAGTGTGTAGTGCTGAGGCGTGTAAACCTGTTAACGTGTAACCTCTTGGTATCCGAGGCAGATTTTAGTATAAGGTACTAACTGCTTGGATTCTTACAGACTTTGGAACAGGACTGAAAGTGCTGTTGACCACTCAATGAATCCATGTGGGCACTGTGGAAAACAAAAACTCCCATTGGGAGAAAATAAACCTCTGGGGGTCCCGGCCCAAATGGGTGCCCTCCCTCCAGGCAGCTAATCGTTTTATCTGTGGCAGATGTGGCTTGGAAAGTGAAGAGAGAGCAGAACTGGAGCTGAGAAGTTGGCATCAGTAGCAGCGCAGAATGAGAGGAATGAACCCAGGGCCAAATTGGACACCAGGGATAGAGACACGAATGAGTCAGAGACACGAGAAGTAGGACTTACCTTAACAAATATCAAGCTCTAGTAGCAGCAGAAGTGGACACTGGGAATCAAGACGCAACAAGACGAGGACACGAGACATAAGGGCAGAGTTGGACACCAGGCACAGAAACACGAATGAGACAGGGACAGGAGACACAGGACGACTGATGACTGTAGCAGAGGTAGGATGCCAGACAGAGCCAGGGCCGAGGAGATGGCCTCAGTAGCAGCGGAGATGGGAGGAATGAACCCAGGGCTGAATTGAATGCCGGGGATAGGGACACAACATGCAGTTAAATGCGTAGGAGAAAAGTGAGAATTAAAGTACATGGAGGAAGAACAGAGGGGGCTGGAGATTCGCAGGGGGTGAGTTTAGATGTGATGATAAGGAAAACAAATACAGATCGCTGAATGAAGAAACACGGGGAGATTACAGAATGGGTGGTCATGGAATTGGAGTGATGGTGGCTCAGAGGTTCCGTCCAGCTGTGAGCTGAGCAGAAGCTTGCTGAAGAGGCATGGTTATTTATTACTCTCTCCGAAGTTCAAAGCTTTTTTTTTGCTTTACGCTTTTTGCTTTGCTTTGTTTTAAACAGGTTTGTGGGCAGGGGGGAAATTGCGTATTAGTTGCACTTTTCTCTTCCCTGCTGGTGGCTGGAACCGTGGTCCACGCAAAGGGAATGAATGCGACTAACGTTAATCCAGAGCACGGGTCTATGAACGCAATGGGAGGTTCAACAGGTCGGCTGCACTGGCAGATAACAATCAGATGATGTCATTGGGAGATGTGGAAGTTTACTGGGAGCGCAGGATACGTTAAGTATATCTTTGATAGGAAAATGAGTAAAGTAATATCCCTAGATGTACGTCCTGAATGAAAGCTGTTTAAACGTAGTTTGGTGACTTTATGCTACTGTCCGTCTGATAACGGGAGGAAAGGTTTTGAATTCGAGATTTGTAAACGTGGCGGCGAATGTGTGTTTGCCGAGAGCAGCCCATTTAAATAAATAAACAGAAGTAACTGGATAGTCGAATGCTAGGCATTTCGAAAGGACGGGTTGAAGCTGACAGATGTTGAAAAGCGACAAAGAGTCTGATCAATGGCTAGTTGGTACGCGGAGAACGAGAAAATCTGCGGTTTCTGGCTGAGATCAACTGTGCATCGGAGCAGCAAACGGGAATATTGATTGTGTTGATCTCGTACGTATTTATAGCGTTTTGGGAGAGGAATGGATGTCAGGAGCGG